CATCCCAGTCCCCCCCAGCACCCCCCGCCCCCCACATCACCATGACAGACTGCATGATTACTGCTGAGAAGATCATTTATTCTGTATTAATAATCATTTATTAATAAAGAGACTCTGACTAAAATACCATCAAATTCAATTCAATTATTATCAGGTAGAATTATTGATTGTTAATTTTCACTTAATTTCAACAAAACAGCCTTAAAATGAACATAAAGTTATATTTTATCTTCAATTCACTGATGATGTTCAGATTTATTTTTATTTCTTCTTTTCTTCTAATCAGGAGTAACAAGAAAAACATGAAAATTTCTGCTTTTTCAACAAAGATAGAAAAGTTCTGTTTTAACAGGAATCTAGTAAAATTATTCTTTCATTTCTGACCTTCTGCACAAACTTAACTCTGGATGTTTTAAACACCAATAAAAAGAAAATAGCTCCATTTTATAATAAAGCCAAATGGTCACTTGAAGACCAGAGGAGCCTGACATGTGAACCACCTGCTTCCCATTCTAGGTTGGACAGCTCTAGGAGCCAGCAGTAAACCTGCAGGCTGAGAGTTCTACCATTACCATGTTTTATTTCCCTAAATATCAATCGTCCATCTTCTGCCATCAGGGTGATGGGGGGGCTCTGGGTGAGAGGCGGGGTTCACCCTGGGCGGGTCACCAGTCCATCACAGACAGTTCTAGATTCTAGAGATATAATCAGAACTTCTGGATTCAGGGGATCCCGATCCAGATCACACAGAGCTGCATGGAGAAACATCCTATCTCTGCAATCTGTAAACTTTTCATCAAAACCAACTCCAGTATTTTGGATCACATCCTTCCTTTAAACATAAAATGATGATAATATTTATAATAAGTGAACCTGATAATAAGTGAATATCATGTGAACCTGATGAATGATGTCATCGGCCAAGCTTATTAACGTGGAGATGAAGAATATCCAGGAGTTTGATCATTCAGCCCCAGAAAGCAAATCTAACCTCTAACAGGACAATGCATTCACAGATGTATGGTGGCCCACAGGGCCCAACACACTGCAGTGAATGCAAAACGGTCTGCAAAATGTGACAAGCGCATAGAACACATTCAAGGCTAGGAAAAGCGAGCAGATGGGTTCCACACCACTAGGGGGCGATGTTCATAATAAGAAATGATGGCCAGAGCTGTGAAGTTTAGCTGGGCACATTTATTCATAGAGCGCAGTTCAAAGACAACTCAAAGTTATTGAAATGACTGAAACAATAAAAGCAGACTTTACTCTCTGAGATCCTCAATATGATTATTTGATCCAGACTGTATCAGTGTGGCTCTAGTGCTACCAGATAGCGGCTACCCTGCTACCCACCCAACGGCTCCAGTGCTACCAGATAGCGGCTACCCTGCTACCCACCCAACGGCTCCAGTGCTACCAGATAGCGGCTACCCTGCTACCCACCCAACGGCTCTAGTGCTACCAGCAAGCAGCTCCCCTGCTACCCACCCAACGGCTCCAGTGCTACCAGCTAGCGGCTCCCCTGCTACCCACCCAACGGCTCCAGTGCTACCAGCTAGCGGCTCCCCTGCTACCCACCCAACGG